TAATTACGTTATAATATCTTAAATTTATTACAATTTTGCCACCCGATTAACCTATTATAACGAATTATTTTCATCCATCATTATAAGTATCGTTATAGAATGTTACTTTTCTACTAGTGACCGGTGTTTGAGGATATGAACCAAATAAAACACAGTATCATTGCATCAAATCCAGTTTTGCATTTTGATGCAAAACGGATCGCGCAGAACGGATAAGATGGATTTGATGCAATGGAATGGATGGAATCGTGAGTGGAGTATGCATAGTGATTTAGAATCATGCTAATTAAAGCCTAGAAGAGAAAATTACTTCAAAGAGGAGTGCAGAATTAAAATCCTAAAAATATTCTTGGTAGTTTTTCTTATGAGTTTTTACTCTTATCGTTTCCTTTATTTATGTAGTTCGTGGTCTAAGTGACTTTTACGTACATTCACTCTACATCAACACCTATGAGAGAAGTTGAAAGATTAAAGCTATTCCTCCCTTGCTCCTGCGTGGACAATAAACACGCAAAATCAGTAACTATATTAATAAATCTCAGTTTCTCCTTTTTAAATATAAACATCATATTCAGTCAAAATCTATAGATTGAATTATTATTACAGATATAAGGACAAAAATATTATTAAGCTTTAGAGGTAACTTCGTCTTTTTAAATAATTTTAAAACAAAAGTAAGAGGTAAGTTATTTTTTTTTCTTTCCGGAAGACGTAGCTCATTGTCCTGAAAATAAATTCCGAAAGTTAAATTCAAAAAAAAAAAATCAAAAAGACAATTCTAAAAAAAAATCGGAAAAATATTTTTCTTTTTCAGAAATAAAATCTTAGAATATATTTTCTATTTCCGGATTACATTTTCCAGAACAAACTTCCAAACAGGGGCAAAAGTGGAAATTAAATAAATTGATAGGGTGTAAGATGAAAATGATAGGGTACAGGAAGCAAAAGCCCATAAGATATAATTCAAAACTATAGGCAAATACAAACTTTGAATTAAAACCAAGATGCGAAGTATATTTCGGTTCTTTTGCCTAATTTGTTTTGAAAGATTATGAAATCAGTGATTAACCAGTGCTCAAGACGAAGGGCATCATAGAAACTTCGTAGGAGTTATAACTTCAACAACTCTCGCCTGCAGACCTTTTGGAACTTTCTAAAAGGCAACCATACGTCATCAGGTGTTGCAAATAAAGATATTAAAAAATATAATAAAATTTATAAAAGACTTTAAAATGTAAAGGAAGGGACCAAAAACAAATAAAAACTCCCACAAGTTGAACTCATTTTGTCTCCTTATCAAAGCTAAACTGCATGTCTGCAAGATATAGCAAAGGGGCATTTTTCTAAGATAACATATTCTCTGCATAAAAGAAGTTCACAGATCTGTTGCCCATTATTTAATTTGAATAACACTAGCAAAAGTTTAGTATTGTGAACACAAAAGTGGGATCAGAAGCTGATACTTATTCTTATTCATGCTGCATTGCTTCACCAAGTATTGCATACTTTGGAAAATTGCATATTGGTGATAGGTGCTGGAATATGGATGATTTAAACAAAGTTGAAGGCACAGGTAATGTGAAGGCTGTACTGTTAATGATACTGCTCCAGACTCTATATGCAGTGGTGAATATCATGTTAAAGATAGTAGCAGATGATGGAATGAGCTTAAGTATTCTTATTGCCTACCGATTCATCTTTGCTAGTGCCTTCATTGTTCCCCTAGCTCTCATCGTTGAAAGGTGTTTCTCTAATAAGTTAAGAGTTAGGAACCAAAAACAGTTAGTTTCATTTCCCATGCACATAACATAATCTTATGTAGTAATAAAAGCTAATGTTATTTTGAATCTAACTACTTTTATTTTGATACGTGTTTCACCAGGAAACATCTGCAAGATGTTACTGGGAAAGTTGCATTCCAAGGTTTTCTCTGTGGGTTATTTGGGTAAAATTTCTAATGCCCTGATTCATTTAATATAGAATTTAACCAAAATATGTAAGATGATGATTTACACTTTTTCAGGGGATCCTTACTACAAGGTCTCTACGTTAAATCGTTGGCCTTGACGTCTGCAGTATATGTTTCAGCCATGATGAATCTCGTCCCTGGTGTCACCTACCTTATGTCTATTTCTCTCGGGTACGCTCCATGTAACCTTGCATATCAAACAATAAACTTCTAGTTCAGAAGAAAAAAATTTTAAAATTTTCATTTAATATTCGTTTTTAAAATGAAGACATTAGATTCCTCAGTTACGAAATTGTGTAAATTAAGTCATGTCCTTAGGTTGGTATACGCACAACGGCGTTAAAGGTTACAATGTGACAAATTATTTATTCCCCACGTGCAATGCACATATTTAAGGTTTTGCCAGGTATGAAAATGTCCTTTTGATTTGGAAGAAACCAAATTCAGACGATTTGGCCCACCTTTTATCTCCAACCGCTTAGGGGAAGGAGGTGATGTGAAGGTTTGGAGTTGAGGTGGGGTGCCCTAAGTTGTTCGTCCTAACTCAGTCTGTGAAGTTCGCTGTTTCTGAGGTGGGTGCCCTAAGTTGGGTGGTTGGGATTGAGGTGGGTTGTAGGTGTCGAGGAAGAAATATTGTGTGGTTGGTGAGGCAATGTCCAATGATCAATGCTCGTCTTGCTCATGGGGGACCTCACGTGTGGTTCATTAGAGGAATGGTTGCAGCCAAATATGCTACTGTGGAGAGCTTGCCGTATTAAGAGTCACAAAAATTGTTAAGAATCAGGGGAAGCATTTTTGGGGGTGCCCTAATTACAAGGTATTTTTTGTATGTTGTGTTTTGATTTTGGGGTACATTAGTTCGGTTTATCCTGAGATGTTTTGGGTTGGATGTTTTGAACAACGGAGTTGAAACGAGGAAGTGCGTGGATGTAATTTCTTCAAATGGCGCAATGAAGATTACATAGATAAAGTGATGTACAATGGAATGGCAAAGGAGAAAGATAGTACTACCTCCTTGGAAAATCATTTGGTTTTGGCAGAGAAAGGGAGAAGGTTTGTTGCGTTTTTATGTTTGATGGGTTGGTTACATCACTTTTGTATGTATTTTGTTTTAATTTTGTTCTAGTGTGTTTGATGGGGGTTAGAATTAATGTTTGTTAGGTAATGAAGATTGTGGGGTTGCAATGACACTTGTTCGTGTAATGATATTTTGTTTCTCGTTATGTTCAAGTCAATGTTATGTACTTTACCTTGCCCTGTCATTGCCAAGCCAGTGTAATGTTATGAACGGAATGAACATCACATACAATTATAGACTTTCGTTGATTTTCATCAGCCTAAAGTTATACATACAAACCATCAATATTATAATTTGCTGCAAGCACATATTTACAAGGTCTACACAGTCTTACATCACATAGAAGTTTCCAAAGCACATTTTAGCAACCTGGCAAACATTGCAGGTTATAGTTTTAACATAAACTCATAGCTGTGCCAAATGAATATCATATTGATGAATTAAGATCACTTAAGAAATTACATCACAGATCATCCATAATACATGACATCCAAAATATAGTTATATAGTGAAAAATACATCACATCCAAAATAATATTGAAGGTCAATATGACCTGAATATGTCTAGCAAAACTACTTAAAGTGAAATTACATATCCAAAATACAAGTCAAGTTTGAACAATTTTAAAGTGTTGTTGCAATGTGATCGATCTTGGGTTCTTTAGTAACTTGACTTGCTTGATGGTCTGTGGTATAGCTTGGTGGTCTTCTTCTTGAGTAATCTGACTTGCTTGAGTGGGTACTGGTGTAGCTTCCTGGTGTTCTTGTTCAGTTGGTTGAGTGGAGTGTGGTGTTGCTTGTTGTGTTGTGCTTGAGGGTAATTAAGTTCTTCTAATGCCCTAGTTGTCTACAAATGCCACATCTCTTTGGGATTCCAGTTTGGCCAAGTTGTGCATCATCCCTTATTTGCTCCCAACTCTCCCGTCTTCTTTTTTTTCTTGGTCTACCTGGCAACACCCTTTTCGGAGGAGGCAAAACATCAGCATATGAAGTCCTTTCCCATAGTTCAAGTCCATTGACAAGGAAAATTAATGGAATGTAAGTTTCTTCATAAGTTGAGGTTCTAAACCAAATTGGGATGTAGTCTTCTACATTGATGTTTAAAAACCTCATGGTAGTCAATGCATGACAACAAGGTATTCTTGTTACAGTCCACTTCCTACAGCTCAATCTTTTGTCCTCTACATCACCCAAACTTTTCAGCAATATTGGAAGTATGGCTGATCTCAAAAACTTGCATACCTGACCAACTGCCAAAGTATTCAAAAACAATATTAGGAAGAAATTACAATGGAATCAGTCAAATAGAAAATGAGTAACTAGTTTTGTAGTTTACTTACTTAGGTATCCAATATTGTGTCTTCTGTAACTCCTTGTGTAGTCTCTTTTTGAATTTTGGGACAATGGGACCCATGAAACAACCTTATCTTCTCTCTATTGGATGCCACCCTCTTCATCATGTAGCTAACGGAATCTCTCCAACATTGTTTATGATTGTTTCCCCTAGCACCTAAGATTAAACTGTTAAAAGCTTCAGATATGTTATTGACAAGGGTGTCCAAAAAAACGGTGTTCTTGAAAATCTTGACCTAGACCAAAATTGCATTAAAGAGAAACTTAATATTTGTAAAAGAATATGCATTCAAATATGAAATGTAATGTGAACTTGAAATGTACTTGCCTTGGTGGAATAGCTATCAAGTATTTAAAGGCTCTTCGTTGACTTTCCTTGATTTGTCTCATCACTGATTCCCAAGCTTGGGGGTGTGTTGTTGTTGCTGCCTTCCATAGTAATTTGTCTGAGATTTATGCCAGGATATTTCTTCCTAAAATTTGCATAAATGTGCCTTACACATAAACGTTGGTCCACACCAGGTAAAAGTTGTTGTATAGCTGGCAGAAGTCCTTGTCACAGTAATGAATGAAGTCAGTTTTTATAATTGGGATGGTGAACATCCATAATCAATGAAAAGGTACTTATTTATTACTTTCTGTTGATCTGACACAAAAGTACAACCCTTGAACAAATCCCCCTCCTCCAAGATCTCAATTAACATTCTAAAACACCATGTCCATGTTTTCCTTATCCTCTACTTCAACAACAACATATGCCAAAGGTACTATCTGGTCTTACATATCTTCCAACAACATGATATTAGAGCCATGGTTAGAGTTTATCCTTGTGAAAATTGTTGTTTGTTGCTTTTATTGTTTCACATACTATTAGACTATTAATTAATGTCTAGTATTACGTTCGATATGCATATGTTTCGGCATGAAGGGGTGCATCTACTAGAGATAATGGGATGCAACTTTTACCTTTACCTTACAAACAAGTAAGATTAAGTTAGGTTCAAAGTCTACTTCTTAACCATAATGATGAGGTGGTTCCAAAGGAATTTGAATCTTTGTGTTTCAGATAAATTAATTCGATAGAGCTTGGTTTAGTAAACGAACTGCATGTTGTTGATTCATTATCGTTTCTATTTTTATAAAGGTTAAATCATTTTTGAGGTCCCTATTTTGGGTTACTTGTTTCAAAAAACTTTCTCAATTTTTTTGGTCATATGGGTTCTTCTTTTTGAAAAATTGATGTCATTTAAGACCTGCTATCATACCATAGAGGTGTCCACGTGTCACTGTCCATGTCGTGTCCATTGCCTGCTTAATATTAATTTGGTTTCTCTGTATTTTTATTTTTTAGTCACATTTGTCCTATTTTTTTTTTTTTTTAAATCAAACAATTTTGTTCCTCTTAAATTAAAACAAAATTTAATTTGTATATAAATGTTATGCAAATATTTTTATTAAAATTGATATTTTTATTAAATATTTTAATAAGATTAAGTTTATTTATAATTATATTTAGTTAATCATATGTTCTTTAAATATACTTAAAAGAGTTAAAAAAGAAAATAGTGATCTACATGCCGATGGGAATTTTTCAAATGACGTAACAAAACGAACAAATTGATAACGTGAAAACTTTGTGAAACTATAGGAACTCTAAGTAAAATAAAAAATTAGAGAAAATTCATGAAAATCATAATTGAATGTTGTATGTTACTTCTTTTTTTTATGCTCTTCCATGTTAAGTAGGGTTTTCACATTAAAATTTGATGAAAACCCTAATTAATGTAGAAGAACATGAAAGAAGGAATAAAAAAAAACCACAAAAAAAAAAATAAAAAAAATACCCCCCCTCCCCCCCCCCCCCCTCCCCCCCACCCCCGCCCCCCCCTCCTACACCCCCTCCCCCCCTCCCTCCCCCCCCATTCCTCCCACCCCTCCCCCCCCCCCCCTCCCCTCCCCCCCCTCCCCTCTCTCCCTCCACCCCCCCTCCCCCGTCACCATCTCCCACCTCACCCCCGACATCCCTATCCTCTTCCCCACCACACTCACCACCTCCAAAAACCCCCTCTCCCACCCAACTCACACACACAACCACACCTAACAACCCAACCATGATCACCTCCACCCCATACATCACATAAAAACAATACACCAAAATTCACCAAAAATACACCAAAAACAACAAAACACACATCTACCAACAAACCATCATCACTCAAAAAACTCAAAAATAAAAAAAAACAACCAAAAAAACCACCCCCCCCCCCCACCCCCCTCACCCCTCCCCCCCCCCCCCCTCTCCCCCCCCTCCCCCACCCCCCTCCCCCCCCCCCCCCACTCTCCAAATCACACTAGCTCCCCCCACCCCAACCCCCACACTCCGCCACATCCCACCACTCCCCCATCCCCCCCCTCCCCCCCCCCCCCCCCCCCCAAACACCACATCCCATCCCCCCCCCCCCCCCCCAATCCCCCCAAATAAAAATCCCCACCCCCCCCCACACCTCTCAAAAAATCACAAACCACCACCACCATCCTCTACCACACCAAAACACCGTCCCCACAATCACCTTCCCAAAACAATCATCAAAAAAACACCATCTCCACTCCCCCCACCCCCCCCCCATCCCCCCCCCCCCCCCCCCCTCCCCCCCCCCTCTCCCCCCCCCCCCCCCCCCCCCTCCCCCCCCTCCCCCCTCCCCCTCCCCCCTCCACCCCCCCCCCCCTCACCCCCCCCCCCCCCTCCCTCTCCCCACCCACACCCCACCCACCCCTACCCCTCCAAACCCCCCCCCCCCTCTCCCCTAAACCACACCACACCCTCCAACCCCCCCCTCCCTACCACCACAACCACCAACCCCCTCCCCCACTCCCAACCCCTCACCATCCTTCCCAAACACAAACCACCCTAACCACACACACACCTACACCAAACCACAAAACAATCCAAACATCCATACAACCCATCCAAAACCACACATCACTATAAAAACCAACCAAACCAAAATAAACACAAAATCAAAATAAAATAAAACCTACCAAACCCACACCCACAAACACAAAAAACAAAAACCCCCAAAATAAAAAAAACACACAAAATAAACACAAAAATTACATAAAAAAAATCTAAAAAACACACAACAAAAAAATAAAAAAATATCCAACCAAACAATAGAAAAAAAAAAACTAAAGAAAAAAAATAAAAAAATCAAAAAAATAAGAAAAAAAACCAAAACCCTACACACAACCAAAAAACATCAACATAAAAATATACAAAAATAAATATATAAATATCACAACACAAAATCAATACAAAAAAAAAAAAAA